GAGAGCTCTATATTGTTCTTTATGTTGTTCCGAAAACGGGACGCAGTTAGTTTTTTACGTACAAACTGCACAACTTTTTATATTAAAGAATTAGCACTACGATCTGACGCCATACGCTGTAAATTCAGTCGATAAAACAGATTCAGTTTAGGATCCCCTTAATATAGACATTTGTCTCGCAACAAGATCTCACACAACCTGTACACGCACGGTAGGATTGAGAATAAGCTGCTACTTGGTAGCGGTCTAAAAGCGGACAAACGTGACAGGTGTCCGCGATATTGTCATAGAATTCGTCACGCGGAGTGTTAAATGGAGGAGTGATGGAGGAAGAGAGGAGAAGGAAGACGAGCCACTTCGCCGATTGTCATTCAAATCGTCTCTCGAATTATTCACCGGCGCCACTCGCGAACCTGCTCCGCATGCACACGGAACGGAATCGAAAAGTACCGACCGTGTATATAAATGCATTATACGTTGCGCTATCGCGCGGCGTTATCACGCGCGCGCGCGCGCGCGCGTTTCTCGTCGCTAATAAATTTATCGCGAATATCAATCTGTTTTGTAATCGTTTTTTTGTTTCTTATTCCGAGACTTTGAACAGTGCGATCAAATTAAATATCACGTTTAAAGCTTGGGTCGCGCGACGAGAATACCCACGGATTGAATGTATATATATCGAATCGATTTGTCTTCCCGCCTCTTCTTCTTTCTTTTTTATTTTGCGATGTTATAAGATCGCGGCAGCGAAATCGTGTTCTTAGCTGGCGCGCTTGTATTCTAATTGCGCGAGTAATTGCCGAAGGCCATTAATATTCTATTGAACTGCGCCGGGTTTAACGACTCGGTCGTCGACTTTCGATTATTAATACGAGTTATGATCGGGTCCGACGCAATTTGTTTGCGACTGCGAGGTCTGAATACCGAAGTAAACCGAAAAAGAGAGCGCTCTGTTCTCTGAATAATCGTTATCGAATTATCGCCCGATTTGTAATGCGCGGTTCGGCCGTGCGCGCAGCCGTTGCACAGGAAAATTCAATTTGTATATGAAAAAGCAATTTTTGTTATCTCTACGCGTAAAATTTCATCATTTTGAAGAGATTCGCTCGTGTTTTTTTAATATTATGTAATATTTAACATCAACATTCACACACAAATTAATACACCGAAAAAATTGTATTCTTGTTTTGTGAGGATATCCCACTTACTTTAAGTATATTTTATACTAAAATAGACGCCAAGAAGAGTTTCTTATTTTAAGAGGAAAATCCTCTAAATAGTAATATTGATAAGAATATATACTGATTAGAACATAAAAAGCTTCTATAGAAAAACATATATATCTCACTATCGAAAAAGACTATATTCTTAAATTAAGAATATATTCTTAAAAATAAAGAATATATTCTTAATTTCAGAAGAATATCATCTAAAATCTTCAAGAAGATTTTTTAAGTATAAAATCTTCTACTTACGAGAATATAATTTTTTCGGTGTAAGAAAAAGAGAAGTAAACAAATATTAATATCTTTTAAATTTGATTTTTCTCTGAAAATTTTTCTTTCTGAAATCTCTTTGAAATTTTTCGCTCAAAAAAAAATACCGATATATAAAAAAAATTTTTTAATACGCATTTTGTTCTAAGTTAAATTATTTAAAAATTGATTACATATCACAATATCGTTGTGAAGTGTGATGCGAAGTAATGCGTGTTAATAATTAATTGTTCGTGCTTCAGGTGGATCTCGACGACGCTATGGACAATTTCTTTGTTACCCTCTACCAAAAAATGTTTGCCGAACTCAACCGTCAGTACATTTTGGACGCTAAGTTTCTAGAATGTGTGAGCGAACATATGAAGGAAATGCGACCGTTCGAGGACGTGCCGCAGAAATTAACTGTGCAAATTAAACGATCCTTCGTGGCCACAAGAGCATTCAGCCAAGCGCTCACCGTCGCCGCAAATGTGCTGAAAAATATGCAATCGGTGAGAGAGTCTCTCAAATACACATTTGCAAGTGATATATGATTTAATGCTATTCTTTTTTTTTTCTTGTTTTTTTTTTTTTTATTTTTTTTATCTCTTTGAAATCACACAATTACAATCGCTCGTTAAAATAAAATCTGTATTTAACATTCCGACGTTTCGCGAACATTTCGGTGAGCCGACTGAAATATTCACGAAACGTCGGCTAATAAAAATGACGCGGGTCAGATCCGAAAAAAACCATCTTTGAATGTTGATACAACCGCGAAATTATTAAACATCAAAATCTCTGTATCTATCTTTAGTTTTTTTTATTTAACCATCAAATACTGTGCTATTTTGTTTATCCCTTAATTTCAATTAAGTTCTCTTCAAATTTCTTCTCGAAAGCTTCTCGCGTTGCCGTAATCAAATGCACGCAGTCTAGAATAAACTCTTTGTTGACTATAGCTCAAACCATCGGCGGATTGCGCAGCTGCCCTTACCAGAATGACAGTCTGTCCGTCCTGCAGCGGTATACCAGACAACGTGCTGGCGTGCGGCGACATGTGCGCCAACGTAATGAAGGGTTGCTTGGCGCAACACGCGGCACTCGACGCTGAATGGAATCACTTCGTCGGTGAGGCAATTTATCCCTCCTTCTCCACCTTTTTCTGTCTTTCTCTTTCTCTTCTCGTTCTCTACGCCAGAATATCAGTTATTATATCCTCGAGAGGACACGGATTATCGTTGCGCGTGCGTGCGTGCAATCTGTCATACGCGCGTCAAACGATTTTTTTTATTGTAGGATATTTTTTTTTGACGAGACTTTTATTTGCAAAACGGAATATTCCGTAAAAATATTAATGCCAGTCATTTTGCGCTTTTTTTTCTGATTTGAAATCAGTTTCGCGTGAGAACTTAATCGGTCAACGTGACAAGAGAATTTTCGGAAATTTCTGAAACGCGCGCGTTTCGATTTTTTTTTATTCTCAAATTTGATTTCCGTCATTTTCTCAAAACGCAGAGGCCGTAGACAAGGTCGCTGATCGGCTGATGGGACCGTTCAACATCGAGGTGTTGATTCGTCCAATCAATCTGAAAATCTCCGAGGCGATTATGAATTACCAAGAAAATAGTGTCGACGTGTCGAATCGGGTGTTCGCCGGATGCGGCAAACCGATGTTGGGCAGACGTAGGCGTAGGAACACTCGCGAGCTCGAGTTGGAGTCCTTGAACTTCGATCAGGACACATCGGAAGATCGTGAGACCGGCACGCAACAGTTGGAGAAACTGGTAAAAGATATACGTCAGCGAGTACGCGACTCTAGACAATTCTGGGTCTACTTGCCTTACAAATTGTGCAACGACGGTCTGGTGGTGCCACCCAGCAACACAAAGGAATGTTGGAACGGCACGCACGTAGACAAGTGAGTGAAAATCTCTGAACAATATTGAAATCTCTGAACTGAAGAATTGAAAATCGCGCGATAAAAAAAACTTTTGGCCACACACACACACACACACACATTTTTTCTCTTTCCAAATGATTTATACTGTAATTCCGCACGGACTTGTAATCCTCTCTCGTAAGTTGACTCGGTAAAAACTTGCGACTGGTTAATTTCTGATAAAAGAACATAGGGTAAAAGACCCAATTACTGTCACCCGTCCAATTACCGTCACCCTATAAGCTATTTTATTTAAAATATTAAATAAATCCTAAAAAGTTATGCACGAAAACAATCTAACATAGAATTTTAAACTAATAAATAAATATTCGGTCATGAGAGCCGTTCGCTAGGTGTTGTGCGGAAATTATACGTGTATATATATACATATATACGTGTGTTCACGTGTAAATTTTTACACGTGAAATTCGAATTGTAATAACAATTCTAAAATTCATATAGGATGCTATATACTTGCATCTCGTATATGAGAGATCCCAAATACTCCCCTAATTGAAATTAAATTTATATTGCGAAAAAAACTCCTCGGCCAGGAGTCGAGAACCTGGAATCTCCGGCTTTCCGTGCCGTCGCCTTTCCTATTCGGCCACCGAGGCACTTGGATAGAATTTTAAGTGCAATTAATATAACAAAAAATCTCCAGCACTCAACATTCGTGTCTTATTTCTTTCATTTTAGGAGGTGACAGTAATAGCTCTCGCATCGTTCTTTTTTAATTATTACATTTATAAATAAAAATAGAGATTTTGAGAGGCGCGGTATTATTTTGTTCCTTATATTAGAGACATCGAATAATATCAGATAAGAAGAAAAACACATGTTTTTGACAAATAAGTAGTAAAAACAATTGGTAAATGTTTACAATATCGGGGGAGACTCCTCCGATCGGCTTGTCGTTTTGATACATTGTTAACATGACCTTCCCGAGTACGTTTCTAAAAGTTTTATCCGTCGCTCATTGTTTATAAAAAAGTTTATAAAAAACAAAAAAAGTTTCATCAATAAACTATCGTTTTTCGACACCGTGTACATTTCAGAAGGAAATGAGTAATGTTCATGTCGCCAACAATGTGTGTATATGTGTAGCATATCCCGAAACTTGATGTTTTGTTTTCATTTCTTCGTTCGTATTCGTCCCGAATGTATAATTTTGATACTAGAATTGATTTTTGATACTAGAATTGATTGACGATTTGTTCAGATAAGAAGAAAAACACATGTTTTTGATAAATAAGTAGTAAAAAAACAATTCACTAACGCCAGAGTTTATTATTCAGGTGACAGTAATTGGGTCTTTTACCCTATTCTGTAATAGAATACGCGCGCAGATTTTAAATTTCGGAACAATTTAATTTTTTATGATGTAAACATTAATACGCAGTCGATATGTTATCCCGAATAAGTTGAAAATTAGCAATAGTACATATAAATATATATTTTTATTTTGTTTCAGAGAGAGATATATATATAGAAAGAAAGAGAGACTCTCGTTTAATCGTAAATTCGTTAATTAAGATCGTATACGTACATTCCGTGATATCGTATACACACATTGTGCATTTGTTCTTTTATCTTCCTCGCAATTAATCATTTGTCTTTGCGACCGAATATATACACAAATCCAATAACTCTCGAGAAAAAAAAGAAATGTTATGTGGTTTTTGTGCAAATTTGTGCACGGCGCGGCGTGGAGAGAGAATTGATATATTGCGGCTGTGTATATCCGCGCTTGTTATTTTTCCAGATACTTATACCCGGTATCCTCGGACGGTGAAGCTCAGCCGTTGAATCCGGAGGTACGCAGCACAGGACCAAGACCGACCATCGTGAGAGATCAGATCTTTGCCCTCACCACCATCACGAATAGATTGAGGCTGGCATATAACGGTCAAGATGTCGATTGGATCGACACAGGTGATTATGCGGCAATTTTTTTATTTATTTATTTATTTTTTTATTTTTCAATTATCTGTCTACGTTGCCGATGATAATAAATCGCGTTTTTTCTATGTAATTTTGTAGAAGAAACGTGGTCCAGCTCTGGCAGTGGTTCGGGCGACAGCGAGGACAGCGAAGGCTCCGGTGACGAGACGTTGCCCGAATCGCCAGAACCGGAACAGCCGCCGAAACAGCCGTTGCAACCGGTTATTCACGAAAACAACACGCCGTCGCAAGTTAATATCAATATAGACAAGGGCGCAGGAACGAGCGGCACGAGTAACAACCAAACCGCCACCGTGAACAGCGGCGGTGCCGCCAAGCAGAGGATGTCGCTCTCTCGGGCGTTGACGACGTACCTGGTGCCGATAGTAGTGATGTGGTTTGGTGGTTGCCTCAACGACTTGCTGTGATCGTGTTGACCTTTCAACTATGAGCGTAGCGTAGTGTAAATATTGACCGATCGCTAGCTGCGATCACAATCGGAAATTGACGGAGAAAGAAGAGTTATTCAACGGACTTGGAATATACGTTGGGTCGCATTACGGAGGGGAATCCCTTACCGTTCCTCGCGAATTCTCTGGATTAGAGAAATCCTGCAGGAGGAGTCGAGACGAGACGAGGACTTCTTCAAACGAAACGTTCTCCATTTCCGAACCTCGATTCCAATACTCGACGAATCGATTTGATTGATTTTAGCGAGTACCGCGAAGTATCGTTGATTATCTTAGCGTGTACGCAAATATTCGTGGCCATAGCTTTCCGCCGGTTCGTTGCGTGTTACGAACGCAAAAGCGAGATAAAGATTTTTTTTGTTAGAGAAAATCAGAGTCGAGAAGTGGAACAACTCTCGAAAAATGAGTTAACTATACCGGCATTTAGTAGTGAAATTCGTCATTTCACCAAATGCTTTATACTTTTTGCACATATTGTATACTTTTTCTATATTTTACGTAATTCAATTTTTACTTTGTGAAGTGATTTATCGTTGAAGAAAATAGAAGCGATTTTCTTTCCTTTTTTTCCGCCGTTTCTTGCAACACAAACACTGTTTTTTTTTTTTGTGTTGCAAAGGTATCATTTGAGACACACAACAAAGACATACACTTTCTGGATTAATCGTATATATATCGGATGAAACATCCTTACTTCCGATATAAGAGAGAAGTTTCTATTTCTCCAAGATAGACTTCAAAAGGACAGTGATTGTTTTTATGCAAATGTTACGGATATATATATATAAATAAATAAATATATATAAGTGTAACAATATTGTTGTGTAGTAAATTATACGGAAATGATCGTTCAAGGAGATCTCTTAAATTGGCGCAAATTGAATTCGCGACGACGTGTATATACGGTGTCAGCGCGGTGTCAGCAAAAAAAAAAAAAAAAAAAAACAAAAAAAAAAAAAAACTAATTAAAAAAAAAAAAATTCTTAACAATTCGCCTTTATTTTGCGTCAATTCAAAAGAACATTCTCTTAAGGACGTTTTCCGAATTTTAAATGTTAATGTTATATCGGACTCAATGACGATGATGATCGCTGAAATTTATTATCAACCAGTAAAAGAATAAACGCATCTAAATGTGAGACATGACTTATTCTAATTAGATCGAATCTTTCCTAACTTTGAACTTTTGAACTTTGAGAGAGAGAGAGAGAGAGAGAGAGAGAGAGAGAGAGAGAGAGAGAGAGAGAGAGAGAGAGATACGAACTCTCTTGTAAAAATATTACTGCCAATTTTTTCTAAACTACTTTCTATATAATTTGTAACTGAATGTATTCCGAATGTATTATTGTAAAGTATCTCTTCGCTCACATCTATTTCGAGTGTTTAGATGTTTGATAAGCGCCAAATCGTGCGGCCAAAGATGATCGTCGATCAAACGACGCAACTGCTTAACGATTTCGCGTACGTACACATATATCGTGCTGCGTTCCAATAATTGTAGGACGAGCATAATTAAAAAATAAAGCAATGTGTAAAGCCGCCGCGTGCCGATAATCACCGGCAATTTCGCTAATTCGAAACAAACGTGCGAGAGACACTAATTGTATTACCCGATATACGTAAGAAAACAAAACCGATATTCGTAAAGACGAACGGAGTATACGAACGAGCGGAAGCGAGATGATTGAGTATTTATTAAATGTTTAAACGATCGCGCGCGCGATTCGACAAGATTTCAAACTTGCGAGATATAATGAATATGTAGAAAGCATGAACAATCAGAATCCTTGTTTATTTATGTCAATGAAGAAGAAATGGATTTCTACACAAATCACAATATCTCAATAAAAAGCGCATTAGAGATTACGGCGCGATATTATAAATCCAAGACAAGGATTCAATTCTCTGACTCACGTTATGTACAACAATATTTCTAATAATTAAATCTTATTGAAGCTCGACAACAAGTTACTAAACTACGAAATATATTTACGGTCATATGAGTCGATCGCAGGATGTTGTGCGGAAAACTGCGTATATATATATATATACAGGGTGTTTCAGAACTATGGGATCAAACTTCTAGGGGTTATTCAGTGCAACAGTAGAAAACATTTGAGTATAGGGACCCATGTCCGGAAAAGTGTCACTACCGCACTACG